AATGAAAGACAGCCAAAGAAGAGCCAGCGTAACAATAGAAAGTAGCCTCATTTCTCCAGAGACGAGTGGTTAAACTTGTTGAAGGAGTAAGGGGAATGGGTGTGAAAGTGAAGGACACCCATGGGATTCACTGCCGGGAATAGAGATCTTGGAAGGAGGACCTAACTGTACGTTTTTTGTCTGTGAGTGTGGATTTTGTTTCCTCACACAGCAGTTGCTTTCTGCAAATTTGACTGCAGTTATTAAACAATGTTGAACTTGTGTCTATGTGGATTGAACAGGTTACATTTTCTTCCCAAGATTCCCAAGATGAAAGTGATTAGAATTCATTTTGACGCAATTACTGTAAATAATTTATCAAACTGCCTAATAAATAACCCTGACAAACATTGCACTGGATTATTGTGTCACTTCCTTGCTACTGTTCTGATTAAGATCAAAGTTCATTTTTCCATCCTCCGCCTTTGGTGTGATTTACAGCCAAGTAATCTTGTAGCCTTAGATTAACTCTAGTGGAAGTGGGAAGTGTCTGTGCGCTTGACTTCTACTTGCGTCATGTTAAGTGACTTTATTTGTTTTTAGCAATGACTCCATGTTTTTTGTTATCCAATCTCAGCTCAATCAACATCGGGCAAAAGGCAGGGCGAAACACACCAGTTGTTAAGGCCATTTGTTGGGTAGCAGGACAAGCTGGACACATCAGATTATTGACCACCTATTCTCTCTTCCTAAAATTGTATTAGCAAAAATGCTTATTTTCACATAAAGCAGAGTTAAAACTAATTATACTCATTAGTATAAATTTAGAGTTGTGTTTTTGTGATCTGACAAATAAATGTAGGGCTAATATTCACCTGCCTTTTGCCTTTTTTTGTGTCCACAAACTGGGTAGGTAGCATACGTTGGTTTGTCAGACAGACAAAGTTCATGAGAGCTGAATTTGTCACAAAACCAAACCCAATATTGTTAAAAGAGCTAATAAAGCTCAGTACAGCTGAGGACAAATGCAGAGCTGAGTGATCATTCTTTCCGGGTTTCTCCATTGTGAATGACATTGTCATTTCATCCATTGTTAATATATGAATATTGATTAGTGCAGCTTTAATAGTTCACTATACTTTTTCTGAAGGTAAATTAAGCATAAAGTTTTTATTTTGATGTTTTCTTTGTAAATTGTACAAGAGCCGCCCACAACGTCAGACTTATTCCACAAACTTCCTAAGCTGATAAACCTGATATGATTACAAGGGCCATGACACATTAACAAAAGATTAGGTTACTGTGAAATGAAAACCTTCAGCCTGTGTGATATGGTCAGGAATTAATTAAAAAATGACTTGTTTTAAGAAAGTTGTGTATTTCCTCAATTTATAGGTTTGCGTGTGAACCTTAAAATGACTGAGGGCGTGTTTTACACCTGCTGCATTACAGCACTGTAATCTGTCTGTTCACACGTCAATATTGTAAACAGTTGACAATGCTGACGTGTGAACTGCTATTTCATTTGTCAATCAAACATTTGTGGACTTGATAACTATCATCTGTTACTATTTTAAGCACCTGTGTTTGTCTTCTCCAGGCTGTGTTTAAAAATAGAATTCAACTCCAATAAGATGAGAACACAGGTCACAATGTTCTCAGGAGTTTGCACAATATGTCTTAATTATTCTAAATTGAGTCTGTAGCAGGAATGAAAGAGGACAACCATGAGTCTTCCAGGTTAATGGAAAAGAATTTTTACCTGTCCTCGTGCTGATAATGTGCCTTGCTTGTGTGGAGACAAAAAGTGAACAGGATTTGTGGCGCTGGCGTCTAGACAAAGTGCTCTGGGATACTTTTGCTACACGAATCAATACTGCTTCATATATTTGTGGACAGTAGTTGTGCTGCAGTGAAGCCATTTGTGGCTAATCGATTACGTCGACTACGTCAATAAATCGCCCTATAACAAAATTCATAAAAGAACCAAAATTCATGACTGTTTGTGAAAGAAGATTGTGCTCCAAAGATTCCATCATAGAATATAAGAGTTGTAGGAATTATTGGAAGCTCAAAATACCATCACATACATGTTCTTTACAAGCGTATGTAAACGTTTGGCCACAACTGTATAGATACACTAGACCTCTAAAGGTGTGCTGTGGTATCTGGCACCAAGACGTTAGCAGCGGATCCTCTAAGTACTGTAAGTTGCGAGGTGGGGTCTCTATGGATTGGACTTGTTTGTCCAGCACATCCCACAGATGCTCACTGCCATCAGGGAATACAGTTTCCGTGAAAGGGTGTACATGGTCTGCAACAATGGTAGGTGGTACATCTCAAAGTAACATCCACATGAATGGCAGGACTGAAGGTTTCCTATCAGACACAATTGCCCAAAGCATCACAGTGCCTCCGCCGGCTTGCCTTCTTCCCATATTGCATGCTGGTGCAATGTGTTCCCCAGTTAAGAGACGCACCATCAATGTGCTGTTAAAGAAAGCATGATTCATCGGACCAGGCCACCTTCTTCCATTGCTCTGTGGTCCAGTTCTGATGCTCATGTGCCCATTGTAGACCCTTTCACCAGTGGACAAGGTTCAGCATGGTCACCCGGACTGGTCTGCAGCTACGCAGACCCATATGCAACAAACTGTGATGTTCTGTGTGTTCTGACCCTTTTCTATCAGAACCAGCATTGACTTTTTCTGCAATTTGACCTACAGTAGGTCGTCTGTTGAATCAGACCACACGCACCAGTCTTCGATCTCCACTCTAACCAAAGAGCCTTGGTCCCCCATGACCCTGTCCCCGGATCACTTTTGAAAGTTACTAACCTCTGCAGACTAGTTAGACCCCACAAGAAAATTCTAATTCTAATTCCAATCATCTAGCCATCAAATTGTGGCCATTGTTTATGTCGGACAAATCCTTATGTTTGCCAATTTCTCCTGCTGTGTGTATAGATATATATATAATAAAGGCCTCAACACTTGGTATGATGCAAGAGACTTTATGACTTTAAATGATGCAAGAGATGCATCATTTAAATTTATAATGAGTTTTTGTGGTGCAAACAGTATTTACAAATGCGTATTTGTGTGTTTCCACACACTTGATCTGGAGACACAAAACAACTATTATAGATATTTGGAGTTGTGATTTTGTGATCTGACACATTTTGATGTTGCCTTAGGCGTAATGTGTACAGGAGCCGCCCACAACCTCAAACTCAAAGCACAAACTTCCTGATAAACTTGATATGATTACAAGGACTTAACTTAACAAAAGATTAGGTTACTGCCACTGTGAAATGAAAACCTTGAGAACGTGATATGGTCAGGAATGAATTTTAACAAATGACTTTAAGAAAGTTGTTAATTTCCTCAACCTATAGACATGCATGTGGACCTTAAAATGACATAAACTCATAAATATCTTTGACCTAGGAGATTAACTGAAGGCGTGTTTTACACCTGCTGCGCTACAGCATTGTAATCTGTCTGTTACGGAAAGAATGAACTAGCAGCTCACACGTTAGAACTGTAAACACAAGTTTATAATGGGTATGAACTTAACGGACATGATAGCAATCATCTGCTACTCTTTTACGCACCTGTGTTTAGCTTCTCCTAGCTGTGTTAGATTTTAACCTTCCAATATCATCATCTATCCTGCAAGAAGAGTTCAGATGAGAACACAGGTCGCAATGGTCTCAGGATTTTGCACAATATGTCTTAATTTTTCTAAATTGAGTATGTAGCAGGAATGAAAGAGGACAATTATGGGGCTTCCAGGTTAATGGAAACAGAAAGATTTCTTCTCAATGTAACTGTGGAATTATATAGAAAGGTTGAGTATATTTAGCATAAAGGCCTCAACACTTTGTACTGATGCAAGAGATGCATCGTTTGAGTTTATTAAGAGGTTTTTGCGGTGCAAACAGTATTAACAAATGTTCTCAACTTTCAGATAAACAAGATGCAACAAATGATTTAAGGCCACAAAGTAGTGACATACCATTAGTCAATATTACATAGCCGCTGGGGAGAAGTCCAGTATATGACAGTGATAAACTGTTTTCATTTGCCAAACAATAACTAAATACCACTTGTCAAAGTGGCACACAACTTATAATCACAGCTTCTTTTGATCTCGGTGTCACACTGATTATTTTACACAAAGACATCAACTTTGCTTTCAGAGTGATCACCTCAGATCTCCCCATCCATGCATTTGACTACGAATGAATAAAGTGGTGTGCAACTTGACAAAGCAGCAAATGGACTGTGATGGCAGTTTTTGTTTAAATAAACACTTTGAAGGAAGCTATTTTGTTTCTGCAGGTTTATTCAATTGACCGCAGAGGGACTCACAGCGACACACAGACACCTGAGCACTTGCAAGTCTGAACAGTACAGTGACCAGAACAGTGTCACATCAATATTTCTTGGACTGCTATTACAGGGACTTTCTGCTCAACGAAAGGGCTGTTTTTGTCTTTCTAATCAGGCATTCCTATCTGAGCTATGTGCTTTCTCACTTTTTTAAAACAATCGTATCGCTTCGCATACTGTTCAAGTGTGTAATGGTAAATTTAGCAGTCCTACATGCCTTTGATTTTTTGTCCCCAAATAGTGGTATCATGACACACATTCCAGCAGAGACATCACTAAGGTCATGATAGTCAGATACTCATTTATCATTGTCTTCTTAGAAAGAAGATACATAGAAACCCACTCACACACACATTTGAATTCCATTTGCATTTGGTACATCAAAAGTAGTTATTGAATAACTTGTAAGGGGGAGAAAAACTGCAGGAAGAGCTTAACTTCATACCTGTGTAATATGTGTGCACAACAACTTTTAAAATACTTTTTCTGCAAATCATTGACCAAAGTGAAGGTTAACAATGTGCTCAATATTCATTGCATCATATTCAAATCATTGTGAGGGTATCCAGTCCTCCAAATGTGAAGAACATTTTTTTTTACATTAACTAACATTTTAGCCATTAGAAGGGAAAGACATGCTGTTTGTGTGTTAACCTGTTAGCATTTCCTCACTTTCACATTCAGAAGACAGGGACCAAGCATTATATCATTTGGATTAAGGTTTCCCACCTAATGAATGTAAGTCCAGTACTTTACTCTACTTGTTTATGGGTCCCACCAACTCCTGAGGTAAATATCTATCTCTTTAGCTGCTAAATGTTGTGCTAATATTCACCAGTTAGTCTCTAACTGTCTCTATTGTTTGGTGCTGAGCAGGTTGTGTCCAACCTTAAAACAGCTGCCTGCTTTGGCTGAAAATGAGAATGAATCATCGCATGAACTATGACTCACTATAAAGCTCCCTAAAAGTGAGGGGAGCTTTAAATTTTTTCCACATTTTCATTTTCCACATAGCAATTTGACCCAAAGCCAAGTCTCAAGTCCAGCCTGAATTCTTAATATAAGAAATACCAAGGTAGCTTTAAACAGTTAACTTTCTAACACAGTCCACCCATTTCCTGGAACATTTCCTTCGTTTAACAGACGCACATGGAATTACACAATCCTGCCCAGGGGAAAACCGGAGATGGCATATTTAAGCGTCAAAGCAATGACGACTCTTTGCACTCTCACTGAATGCCTTCAGGCACATCATAACACTTAGTTACTACAGCCTCACACATTGACACAGACCGGCAGAGGAGCCACACCAACTATACAAACATGGAAATCAGCAAAGTGTGTGCAGTGGCAGCCCTGTGCTCCCTCGTCATCCTCACCACCTTTATCGGCAGCACAGAGTCAGGTGAGTGCTTCAGCTATTACTGCTCGTACATGTGGAGTACCCTGGATTTCTACAGTACTGAATGATTTCTGTTATCCCTGTCAAATGTAGATTTAGGTTATAGGAAAGGGAAAAGTTCTATATTGTCTTTTGCTTTATATTATTACATGAAGTATCTGCAAATCTTAAAGCTCTAACTAACAATATAAATAATTTTGTCTCACATAGTGAAAAGCAAGAAAATGAACTTTTAGTGTTGCTATTTTGTTTAAATGTTGCATTTCCAGCATCTAAATGAAAAGGTTGTTCATATTTTGTTTACAATTAGTTTGTGTGTCTTTGCAGCGAGCTGCTGCCTGAGGTACGCCAGACGTCCGTTGCCATGCAAACGGCTGCTGGGCTACACCGTGCAGAACATCAACACTTCCTGTGACATCAATGCCATTATGTGAGTTAACGTGTCATAGTTTCCTGTCAGGATACAATGTTACAAATCAGGAGTGAAATTATATCACTTAAGAACAATAGCATAAAATATCAAACCGGTCAGGTCTCTGATATTGACTTTTTAGGCAAGTTGTCCATTATATAAAATAAAATGTGCAGAATAGCCTACAAGAAGAATAATTTCATCATCAATTAATCTGCAGACTATTTTCTCAATTGAAAACATTGAAAAATGCCTTTTACATTATCTCAGAACAGTTAAAACCCCAACATATATTTATTTATTTATGTTTTAAATGATCACATTTGAGAAATTCTTTCCATAGACTAATCAATTATTTGACTAATCGCTTTGTCTCTAGAATCAGGATCTGAATCAGAAAGCTTTATTGTCATTGAACATGGCTCTAATGCAACTCCCCTCAGTGCACAGTCAATGAAGAAAAAGAAATA